TGCTTCAGTAACAAAGATGCAAATTGTGAAGAATGAAAACAAGCTTTCTGGAGAAAAATGTTGGATTTAAGCCAGATTTTCCGTGGCTGAGGGGTCACTGAAGATGCCATTTCATTAACAGGAGAGAAAAAGGTTTCCACTCAGATTCCCATCTGAATTCTGAGATTAAAGTCAAAATTTCGAGAATAATTCTGATATAAAATTAAGAATCATGGGGGGGGAAGTCAGAATTCTGAGAAAAAATACTAAATTCTGAGATTTGAGTCAGAATTCTAAGATAAAATTAAAAATTCTTAGTCTGAATTCTACGATTAATGTAAGAATCCTGACAGAAAAAATCAGAAGTCTGAGATTAAAATCAGAATTATGAGTAAAAAAACAGCAGAATTTTTAAATTATCAAAATTCTAAAATAAAAGTAATAATTTTAAGATTAGACTCAGAATTCTGAGTAAGAAAGTCAGATTTTTTTTTTAGATGAAATTAAAAGCTGATATTAAAATCAGAATTCTGAGGTTACAGTCAGATTAATTTTCTTTCAGTCGTCCTAATCCTGATGTTGCTCTTCTGGTGCTAATGTACAGATTTCGTGGCTCTTACTGTAACATGCAGCTATCAGCTTCTCCTGCTCCTGATTTCCATTCATTCGTCTGATCCATGTTCTGCCACTGGCGGGAAACACGAGGCCCGCTATGCGACCCGATCTGAAACAAAAGCAGCATCAGATGCGGCTGTCATCCTGACACAGTTATCAGATTGAACCCAACACTCCAGAGGAGTTCTGCCCCGATAGGTAAAACCATCACAGCGTGTCTGGCAATTGATTTGGCATTAGTTTTTCAGGTCAGACCAAGTGGAGGTAATCAGCCCCCTGCTTGTCTCCTCGCCTCATGCAGCCGCTGATTGCTCCTCTTGATCTGCAGCTATTTTCAGTCTCAGTGGTGCAGCTGATGGGGCTTCCTAAACGCACGCCGTTTTATCTGTGAGGTCTGCCATCGCCGCCCCGTCCCTCCGTTCATGGGGGCACAACTTTCTTCCAAGCTGTTTGGGGATCTTGTTCTGGTTTTGTTGGTTGTTTTTTAGAGGTTTTGTCTAATTTAAAGCAGTTCATATCAGCCGATGTTAATACTGATTATTTTTGTTTTCAATATTTAATATACTTCCAAACTGGTGGCATTTTTAATCCACACGTTTTTATTTTTTATTTTAAGAAGTATGGAGGGAAGGCAGTGAAACCTGGAACTGCACTGCAAAAACAAAATCTCACCAAGTATTTTAATCCAGTTTCTAGTGTAAATATCTTAGTGCGCTTGAAATAACGCAAAAGTAACTTAGGAATAACTTTTCAGCAACATGTGGGAGCTTGTTTTAAGTAAATAATTCCTTAATTTTTGATGAAAAGTACTGGTTATATTGGCAGATAATTTCACTTATAACAAGACATTTTTCCCATGTTACAAGTGAAATAATATGGAAGTGGAAGTAGCACGTTTTCATCAACATTAAGAAATTGTTGACTTCAAAGAAGCTCCTAAATCATGCTTACAATCTGTTCATAAGTTATTTTTGTCATATTTCAAGTGCACTACCATAACTTATAAGTACCTTTTCAGTAAGATATAGGAGCTCCTTTGAAGTAAATAATTTTTTAATAGTGATGAAAAAAAGTTCTTGTTGAAAAATGTGAAATAATCTGCCAATGGAACTAGTACCTTTTCCTCAATATTAAGGAATTATTTACTTAAAACAAGCCCTTATATAAGTTAGTTTCATTTCATTTCAAGTGTACTAAACTATTTGCATTAAAACTAAATACTTGGTAAGATTTTGTGTTTTTTGCAGTGTGCTGCAGCTGAGGTTACTCAACAGGCCATTTCTAGGTAACCAAAGAATGAATGAGTTGCTAGGTAACCTAAGAATGAATGAGTTGCTAGGTAACCAAAGAATTAGTAAGTTAGTTGATTCCACCAACCTAGCTTAGTTAGCCGTGAGAGGTTGAGCAGCTAAAGTCTTTTCCTCTGACTACATCTCCCAGAATGCTGTGCAGTTCCCGTTTTTTTATTGAGAGCAGCTTCTCTAAATATATTCTCTTTCCTGCACCTCGTGTTTCTCTGGTCTCGCCGAGTACTCAAAAGCACTTTAGTACCACCAGTTAAATTCACACGCTACTTCTTACTGAGGAGTTGGAGTTGACGGCTCCAAACAGAGAGCAGACTCTTTACCTGTGGATGAAACGGCTCGTATTGATGCCTTGCAACAACATTCAGATCTGCAGCCCTTTTCGCCGGGATAATTCAGCTCTTGGGGACTGAAATATCTGCCCACACACATTTCCACCGTTTGACTCCTCAGTTTGGTCTGCTGCTCTGAATGCTCTCAGCAGCAGAATAATTCTTCCAAGGGTTTAATGCAGAGAAGAAAAGACTCTGGTGTTTCCTTCCCTTCCTATTTTTGGTCAGTGAATCGTGTGTAATGCATTAACTGCATCTGTGAGTTTGTCCAGCTGAAAAGAAAGCAGCTGGTTGGACTACAGTTTATTCACATCTGGCTCTTTAAAGCGTCTTGAGATTCCTGCTCATCATTTTGCTCTGAGAACCGCAAAACATTTACTGAAAAAGGACAAAGAGAGATCTAATAAATTAACGTTTAAGTGTTATTGTGATTATGCTTTTTATACACCTCAATATCACGCAGTAGCTGCGTCAAATCTGAATGATGCAAGCAAATGTAAAGCTGCAGTATGAAAACATTTCGTCACTGTTACCAAAGTGGATAAAACTGACGACTTCATGCAAACCTAGCAACCTCCTTTTTTACTTTATTCAAAATTGTCTGATTTAAAAGCCTAATTGTGGAACTACACAGCAAAAATATTGCAGAGAACGAGAGCAGAGAGGCTTTTTGTTCCACATCATGTTCAGTAATTTTCACTTAATTAGAAAACAGACACAGAACGAGCTAATTCTAATTTCTAATAGCTTTTTCTCTTGGTGTCATTTGGAACATGTTCAGCCAGCTGACCATGTGCTTTGACTTGTTAACTGTAATTTCCTTGCCTTTTTAATGTGCGTGCGGTTTCATCACGTTGTTTGTTTCTTTTATTATTCTGAAACCTGCTTGCTGCCGGCTTGCAGTGAGCTTATTATTCATATGAAAGTATTTCATGTTAAAACAGGAGAAAATTAGTGACAATTGTTCGGATGCAGATACATTCAAATAGGCTCTAAGAAAATAGGTTTGGTTGAGTACCTTTTAATTTTGAATCAATACGATAATCAGGGAAATTTAAATGTAAGATAATTAAGAAACTTAAATGTAAGGACTGAATACCAATCATCTAATTTGGAGTCATTTCTGATTAACTATCCAACAACTTTTGGCTAAATCTTTTTATAATCTATTATTTAAATGTGTCAAAAATAATTAAAATTTGAATTTATGCGTTAAAATATAATTTTATGTATTTTATTTCCTATTTGTGTCCATTGCGAAATAATTACATGGGTGCACAGCATCTCAACTACAAACCAATCACGTGAAGCCCCGCCACCAAATTGTGACCAAGACTGAAAGAATGAAAATAAATGTTTTGTAAAATAGAAGTCAAATGTTTGAGGGTTTTTTTACACCAGAAAGTTGGGTAGATTCGGTTTGATTGGGAACCAAAATGGCAACATTTGTTACATTTTCATCTGGTGCAATTCTGTATGAACCAAACCCTTTGAACAAGCAGTTCCCCTCCTCACCTGTGGTGGTGCTACACCAAGAACCACAGAAAAAAACAGCATGAAAACCTCAGGAGAAGACACTGAACACAACTTTCTTCTTCACAGAAATGGTGTGGCGATAAATTTTAGTGGTTTTAAAATTTCTCTTGTCTTTTGGCGAAAGACCATGAGCCATTTCTCCTGCTAGAACTAAACTAGCATGTTTGTTTTGGTTATATTTACCTAGAATGCCTTGCGTTAACTCCACTTCCTGCTTTTGGATAGATCTCAACAATTACAGGTACCGCAAAACAGTTTATTCGCCGTCATCGGTGGCCATGCTAACTAGCTTTAGCATTCCTGGCAGACTGCTTTAAGGAAGAAATGTAGTTAAGCTTGATTGACAGCAATATTTAAAAAAAAAAAGTTACATACTGCAGCTTTAAGAAGACTTTGAAAATAAACTTTAAATCTCTATAGCTAGGAAACTATTTCTTAATTTCGCCTTTAAAAATTTGTCTGGTTTGAGGCAGAATATAAAGAATGATTGAGATGTTTTTACTGAAATTTTAAAAAGATAGGGGAAAACGCTGGGAAAATTATAATAATTCAGAAAGTAATATAATAAAAGCTCATTGTTGGACATGTCTGACAAATGGATTTTAACTTTGTCTCATGGCTGTCTTTTGTGCAGATAAATTACTAGCATGCTGCTTTTTGTTCACCTGCACCCTACCTGAAAATGCAGTAAAAAAAAAAAAGACGTTTTAGGCAGACACGTAATCATAACGCCACATGATGACCTTTTACATGCCACTTTCATCTCTGTTCTCCTGACGGCTCACAATGGTGCCATGCAGAACAGATCAGCTGGAGGCAAATTAATTTATTAAAATTACCGACATCTGGAAACTTAGAAAGGCCTCCAGTAAGTGCAGATTTTCTCTGCGGAAACAATGGGGGAAACTGAAGCAGCCTTATATAACCCGCTCCTTGGGTGTCCGTCTGAGCCTTGCTTTGTTCCAAACATTGGCTTTGTGTTGTCAGGATATGACAGAATACGCTGCCTCAACGTCGGGCTCTTTTCTCCTTTAAAGGCTCGACGAGAAACGTTGCCCGAGTGCAACAGGAAACCTGCTGCCAGGGCCGGGCAGTAAATAGTTACATTTACTCCATTACATTTACTTCAGTAACTGTTTAGTAAAAATTTACTTCTTGGACTGTTTTCACTTTGCTGTACGTTTTACTTGAGTAATTTCATAAAGAAGTATCGCTACTCTTACTTGGAAAAGGAAAAAAAAAATGCTACTTTTTTCTAGAAAATTTCTGAGCTTTTTTTTTCTAGCTGGCTGAACTTTTTACTTTTGAGTAATTTAATTACCAAGTATCTTGGAAAAAAATAATTTAAAAAAATTATGTTATGTTAATCTCAGTATTTCTAAGTTTTTCGAACAAATTTTTGACTTTTCAAACTCAAATTTCCTTGATTTTTTTTAGAAATACACTAGAAAATGCAAATGAACAACTCAATTCCTTTTCTAAATAAGAAAATAAATTTTTAATTCCTGAAATGCAGTAATGTTGCTTTCCTTTAGTGAATGTTTGATCATTTGTAGCAAATGTTGCATCTGCAGATAAATACTTATAACACCAAGGTGAAAATTTCGGTGTAATTTAGAGCTAATATGTTGATTTTTATTTTTTGTAGAATGACCAATTAATTAAAATCTCCAAGACCCACATGTGTTTTGGTTGTATTTACCCAGAATGCCTTGCGCTTTAGTCTTATTCCCCATTGTCCCCTTCCTAAAAAAATGACCCAAGTCGATTTTTTTTTTTTTTTTTTGGCTAAACAACAAAAAAAGACAACTGGACCGGATTTTCTAGACAAACGGACTGGAGTTCGGTTAAAGTGAACTAATCAGAGCTGGTGTGAATGCAGCCATCCTGGATGTCGACTGCTTCATTTCCCATCTGTTGGTTGTATTACTTTGGGTCATGATGTGTCTCCTTTTCAGACATTTTAGCGTACTTCACGTTTTGAGCAGAAAAT